CTTGGATATTTGCTGTTTCCTCAATGGATGGACACTCGTGCAGATCCTAGTATCGTTTGCAAAGGATGATAGTGTTATGGTTTACATCTCTGTCTGATATGAGAATGAGGAGCAGGATAGGGGCGAGTACTGTGCCTTGTGGAACAGATCTCTTCACTATGGCAGCTTCCGATTTAACTATTTACCACTGTGTGTTCGATTGGTTAGAAAGTTGAAGATCCACCTAGTTATCCCTGTAGCACGTATTTTGTGCGCTATTACACCATGATCGTACTTGTCAAAAGCTTTTGCAAAATCTGTGGGTATGGGTTAACTTGCCGTTTTTCTGTAAGCAAAACGGATTGAGCGTTTTTTTTTTTTTTGAGGGGGAGGGATAATTGTGGAGAGTATAGATAAAATATAAGATATTGATGTAGAAGAACGAGCAACAGGTTGGTGCGTGGGTGAGCGTCCATCGGATGCGGGCAGGGGTGGTCGTGCGTGATCCCTATCCACTCTGCTGATTATTCACTTGGTGGTCTAACATCTGATCATGAGTCAACACACCCTTGTTGCTCTTGCCCACTGGCCTCTGCACTGAGCTCTGCACAAGTCTCACCAGGCAACGCCTCTTTACAGCTTTACCTGCCGCTGCCTCGACCCACAGGGCTTTTAGGAATAAAACGTGATACAGTACGACTAGCTTAGTAGAATGTTCGGCTAATATCCGAAGGGTGTCTGGTCAGATTCCGGGGCGGGGTGAGACATTGGGAACGATTCGTTAACAAGTTTTAGGCACAAATACAATTATCATAAATATGTGCAAATTACCTAGGATAAAAAGTCGGTGATTTGTTTCCATTGGGGTCTGCTGCCTATGTTCACATGACAGTAACACCCGGGTGTTATTGTAGGATGCTTCTTAGGGGAAGGAGAGACCGTGGAAATAAACTAGTTGACTTTTTGGTTATTCTGCGTTCAACGGAATAAACCTTTATAGGGCTATCACAAGCGACTAGGTCTTGCTTGTTTCACTGCCGCACGCCGGTAAGTTGCGTTGCTGGAGTTACGAGAGAGAGCCAGACAGGGAGACTTTGTTGAAAGGAATGGTGGGGGGTCATTAACGTGAGTGGAGGCAGCTGTGGGAATGGGAGGCAGGCTCGTAAAGATGTGGTGGGAGATACTAAGGGGAAGGCAAGGGGAGCAAAGTGCTGGGTTGAGTGTAAAGGCGGGAGGGGAAGAGTTGGTGTGAAAGGCGAGAGGGGCAAAGGAATAGGACAGTTGTTTGTCGGAGGGAAGACTAACGCGGGGTGGAAGGAAACCAGTGGTTGGGATGGTTTAAATGGCACCCAGCTCGACACCCTTGAAGAGGAGTATGTGGTGGCGTGACACTAGACACGTTGGTTAGTGGGAGGATGGTAAAGGCTGTGTATGAGCGCCCGCATGTGCGCTGTAGGCTAGGGACAATAGCTCTGTCACTGTACGCTGATTAACAAAACTCATTCTTAACTGTACACTTTATATGCTATCTTAAACTAGCTAGACATTACTTCCATAATCGCCACAATAAACACCAACTGACAATCCTCCTCTAATTCAATTGTAATTCTTTGATAATTAGGACTAGACAGTTTGAATATAGTACATAACCAGTTCAATAGGTGGGAAGATGGAAGGTACTGTAATGAGTTCTCTTCCCAGCTCTAACTTCTCGCTTCAGGAAATGTTCGTTGAATGTGGTTTAAACTCTAATTTTGTCGCAGCACTTGCCTCGCTTGGGATGGGGGAGGGAGTGGGGTATGGCATGTCAGGGAGGAATGAGGGCCACTTTGTCTGCTCTAGTGGTTGTGCACGCACTGGCGTTCACACACACACACACACTACAAGCATGCCGCACGCGCGCGCACGTACACACAAGCGCGCGCGCGCGCGCTTACCCACATGAAGAGGTGGGGCCAGGAGCTCTGAATCTGACCCTGCAACCACAATTAGGTGCGCGCGCACCCCCAACACCCCACCTCACACCCCCCAATACATCCCACCCCCATACACCCACACCCCCCAAACCCCACCCCCATACACCCACACCCCCAAACCCCACCCCCATTACCCACACCCCCAAACCCCACCCCCATACACCCACACCCCCAAACCCCACCCCCATACACCGCGTACCCCCACACCTCCATACACCGCCTACCCCCACACCTCCATACACCGCCTACCCCCACACCTCCATACACCGCCTACCCCCACACCTCCATACACCGCCTACCCCCACACCTCCATACACCGCCTACCCCCACACCTCCATACACCGCCTACCCCCACACCTCCATACACCGCCTACCCACCACACCTCCATACACCGCCTACCCCCACACCTCCATACACCGCCTACCCCCACACCTCCATACACCGCCTACCCCCACACCTCCATACACCGCCTACCCCCACCTCCATACACCGCTTACCCCCACAGCCTCCATACACCGCCTACCCCCACGCCTCCATACACCGCCACCCCCACCATCCCCACCCCCACACCCCTCCCCACCCCCAAAAACCCACCCCCCCCACACATCCCACCCC